TGCACATCAATTAAAGAAATGGCTGCAGGAGAATCCCACCTTTGAAGTAGTGCAGCCTGGCAGTCAACAAGCGCTGGAAATTGAGGTATATGTGCATGCTGATGTCTCATATCATATATCAATGCTAATCTAATCCTCCATAGAAACGGCAAAACAAACGTCTGTTGGAACCATCCACGCCAGAGACCCCCGCCGCAAAGCAGTCACAGTCTTTGCCATTGCAAAAGTCATCAGAGACTGTGAACAAATCCATACAGCTGCTGCCAGCGATGCCCAGCTCAGCCAAAAAGGAGAAACCTGCCGCCAAAGCAACGACTGCAGCCAGTCGCTCGCCAGAAAAGGGTGCAACGGAACGAGCTGTGAATAAATCGCAGCCTGAGCCAATACGGCTCAATGTGCGGCGAACACTTAAGGAGCAATTGTTGCTGCGAATAAAGGAGGCGCAGGAAGCCGAGAAGCCAGCAGAAAAGTCGGAATGGCTGACGGCGGCGGAGGTGGAGCACTTTGTGAAGCGAGTGGAGTCGGAAATGTATAATTCATTTGGGCAGGATGTGAGCGCGAAGTACAAGTCTAAATATCGTTCGCTTATGTTTAACATAAAGGATCGTAAGAACAAGACGCTGTTCGAAAAGATATGTGCCAAACAAGTGGAGCCCAAGCAGCTGGTGAGAATGACACCAGCTGAATTAGCCAGTCAGGAGTTGGCCAAGTGGCGTGAGGAGGAGAACCGCCATCAGTTGGATATGATTAAGAAATCGGAACTAGATTTATTGTCATGCGCACAGAACTATGTGGTGAAGACGCACAAGGGTGAGGAACTTATCGAATCCAAGATGGATGTAACGCTGCCAGAGGAGGAAGAGGCACAGGAAGAAGGAGGAAGATGCAAAGAAAAAGTTGACAGCATCGATAGCAAAAAAGGATCCCAGTCTCTTGATACATCGAGCACTACAGACGTTTCCAACAAAGACCATGACCACGACCGACCCTCGACTGCTAAAGAAAAGCATTCAAAGTCTCGAGAAAAGGATCACAGTCGAGAGCGTGACAGAGAGAAGCGGCATAAAAGTCACAGGTCCCATAATAACCAAAGTGGCACCAAAAGAAGCCGCAGCCGATCGAGCAGCCGCGGCCATAGCCAGGAGAAGCGCAGTCACAAGAGGCACCACCACGAGCATGATATGGACAAAGAAAAGGAGCAGACGTCACGCGATAAGCAACTAAGCAAGGAGCATGTTGACAAAGTTCAATCCTCAGTGCAGAAGAAACCAACTGAAAAGAAAACTGAAACCTCCTTAGGCGCCTTTAATTTAATTGATCAAATCCTAGAGTCAGAAAAAACAGTGGAAGAAGCCGCCAATCTGACAGTGCCAGTGAAGCCAACATTAAAGTCATTGCCGGTGGCCTCAAAGACATCTGGGAAACCTGATGTGCCAGCGCCTACTTTGGATAGATATGGCCGCTATCTGCAGAGCTTGTCGAGCCCACCAATTTGGACTGGCAATTTGAGCATGGTTGAAGTAACGGACTTCGATGTGGTTATTCATGGCGTTCAGGGTAATACAAGCCAACTGGATAAGTTATTGCCCCTCAATTTGGATGTGATTGGTCGCATAACGCGGGTGAATGTCTGGGAGTATCTGAAGAAAATCAGGAAGAGTCCAACCAAGGAAATCGTTATTGTCAATTTGTTTCCTGCCAACGCCGCGAACACTATTAAGTTCGACAGCTTCTTTGAATATCTTGATTCGCGCCAACGTCTTGGTGTTTTGGGTGCGGATTCAGAACAGATTCGAGATTTTTATATATTTCCCCTGGGCACCAATGATAAGGTGCCCACTGTGCTGCGTACGTTGGACACTGTGCCTTTTTACGAGGACACTCAAAGACCAAATACACTGCTGGGCATCATTGTCCGCTGCCTGAGCAAACGGTCGGTTAATTTAAGCCATTCGTTGCCCTTATCATTACCCACTGCCAGTAACAAGACTGTAAGTATATATATAACCCGTATATATAGCAGCTCTCTGTATATTATTTATACATTTTTCTGTTGTGCAGGTATCAAACAAAGCACGCGCTCGAACCACGTTCACGCCACCGAGCAGTCCGAAGCGCAAGCCTAGCACGCACTCTGGAAGCTCGAGGGATGATGAGTTCGATATTGATGCCATTATCAAAGCTCCCATTGCAAAGCTGCAGAACAGTAAGTTTAAGATGTCTAAATATACCCATTAACTTGAATAAAAATAAAAACAATGTCTTTTTTCAGAAAACGTTCCGATAGATCCGATGGCTAAAATAGACGATCCGGATGCGCCCTATTCGCCCGGTGGCAGCTCGGACGACAATGACGTTTTGCCTGTATCCGTCTCAGATCACAAGGATTTTGATCTGGAGCGCAAAGTGGACGAAATAAATAAACAAATCGCTGCGCAGCGCATGGAAATCGCTGGTCTTCTAAATGTAGAGCCTTCGGTGAGTGTTTTAAAATAGTTTTACCCTGGGAATATACTAGCTCCACCATTTATGCTTCTACAGATTTTGGAGAAACCAACATCATCAAATGTGCTGGCCAACATATCTATACCTCCCAATCTGACAAAGATTCTGGCCAGCATAAAGGAGAAGGAATCGAATGCCAGACCAATATCGAACGATGATGAAGAGTACAATCCTGAGGATGCAATCTCGACCTGCTCTTATGACATGGGTAAGATAAAACCTAAAACTATTTTCCATGCAAACAAATGAATTAATTTTCAACATATTTCAGGAAAAAAAAGCGAGGGTGCGACAAAGACTAAAAGTCGCTTGGCGCAGCTAAGTGAAGCAGAGCTTCTTAGTATGGTGCCGGACAATCTGGTGGATCTGACGCCGACAAAATCTGCTAGACATTTGGAGCCCCCACCGCCCGGTGTTTAGGCTAAGGCTAACGTTAAGCGCAGTACGATTATAATAATCATAATGTAGAATTTACATATGTACTTGACTAGCTTTGATTTACCTAATAATGTTAGCTTTGAATGGAATTCAATTTATAATTTTCTCATAATTTTCACCTTTCATTATGTACATTCACGTTCAACGAATTGAATACCATTTCTGTATTATATCCAACAATCGAAACAATTGAAATAATAAGATCGTTTGGATCCAGTTGGTTTATCTTTTTATTCAACAAACGAATTCATTGTAGGGTTCTCTTAAGGCATACCAACTAACCTTCCAAGATCTTGTACATTTTTCTTAAATACAAATAAAAAATTGCTACGTAACACTTCTAATAGGGAATACTATATATTAGATATTGTCATATTTATTATATTGCATACTCAGTTGATCTCACATGGATCGAACTGGCTGTCGAAGTGGGCGCAAGATATCTTGGGTCCGTTGTGCACACGAGGGATGGCTATGCGAAAGAGTACACCAATTGGCATGCATACGCAAATCTTGTACTGCACACTTCCTGTGCGAAGGCCCAGTTCCGAACTTACAACGGGTATGCGATCCATGTCAAGGAAAATTCCTTTTCCTGCCTCCAGCACTGTGGCACCCTGAGTTGAGTTAAGAGAAACGTGATGCTCGACCTGCACCTCTATGGTGGCCCCATCGAAGAACACGCCCTCGGATCCCTTGATGGCAATGTGGCCATCGCTATCCATAATTAAAGGCACGTCGATTGGACTGGATACGCGGCTCGCACTGGCCACCTTCGTCTGCAGCACACCTTCTACACCATCAGGTATGTTGTATTGCGGGCGGTGGGTTGTAAAAATAGTTGCGTGATCAGTTGGATCTTTGATTTCAAACATGTTGGCTTCAATGGCAATGCCCCCCTTGTCGAGAACAACCAGATCACGTTCGTTTAAGGCACTGGCGCTATTCAGATTACGAAATACTCGCAAATGCACTCCACTATATTCTCCGTCGCTGCTGATCGATACAGGTACATCTGAGAAGCCATGTATTCCAAGAGCATTTGTTTGGACGCGGTCCAAATCGGTTTCATCATAGAACTTAATTAAGTCCACTTCTGGAATCAATTCCATGCCCTTCACACCCTTTCCCAACCTTAGCACGCTCATAATTGTCAGCGTCAAGATTAGGTTGCCTATGGTCAACATTAGCAGCACTACGACAGCGGTCCAAAATGCATAGCTATTTCGATTCTGGCGACCGGGATGCAAATGCGAATAGCTATCATTGTCGTAATCGGAATTGAATTTCTCGTCGAAGAAATTCACAGTATCCGATTTCGAATCCTTACGGCCCAGGTCCATTTCGACGCCTCCAATTGGCAGGGTAACGGATAAAGCAGTCTCCGAATTTGCTTCGTCAGAGTATGATGGCGAGGGTCCTCTTACAAAAGTATTTTCAAAAATGTCCATTTTGCGTTTTAGAATTTTGCAGAACTGATTTTTGCCAAGTTGTGTGTTGTGTGTATGCGGTATGATAAGCCGATATGTACATATACTTGAATTTCGGAGGCATGCGCATTGCATGACACACATAAAATACATTAAGCGCCAACATTGAATATAATTTGACGACAGTAAATAGAAAATGCCTCCATGGAAATATATAAGAGAGTAGTTCATATTTTACTCTATTTATTTTTTTATTTTCTTTATTATTATTTATTTTTTTTTAAATTTATTCATTTTTAAAAGCAGACTCCAGTTATACACAGATATTTATTTTAACCGTTAGACCTTTTCAGTCGATGCAAATATCAATTCAAATTGTTTTAATTGATGGTCACACTGCCTTGATACTTCGATAACATATGTAAATTATGAAAATATATTTTCATTCTAATATAGATGATGAGTAAACAATAAATTCATAGCAAACATTTTGTATAATTTTTCCGACTATTATCATTAAAATAGTTGATCAAAATATTCTTGCGATAAAACACTTTAAAATACTTGCGACAAGTAACTCATTGCGACTTAGAAAAAGCGAACGAATAAACTCGATGAACCAAAATCAGAGATTTAGCTCGCTCTTCCATTTACAAAGTTGTTCGATTGAACTTATTCCGAACGACTTTCAATAACTTTAATTTTTACTCTTTCATTTTCGCAACATGTCCTTTAAGGTAAAATTAAATATTCTTAATATTTGCATATTGTTTAAAAGCATATTATTTGAATTTGATGCAGCCGATTGACCCGAAGCGCGATGAGATTCGCCGCTATCTAGAGCGCGGAAGCGTTATGGATTCACTTACGAAAATCTTTATACGCGTAATTAGAGAGCGACCGGAAGACCCAATGGAGTATATAAGAAATAACATTGGCGTGGTGCGACATCAGCATGATAAATACGAACGTCTCTCGCAGGATCTGCAGGAGGCAAACGAAGAGATTCTTCGTTTACGTGCCATAATAAACAGTATTAACCCTGAGATACTGCGTGCTCACAATGCGCAAATCGCCGGCGAATCCGATTCGGAACAAGCGACAGCTGCCGAGCTGAACTCTGAAAACTCAATCGTGTCAGAAAATAATGAAGATGTCCATGAGAAAGTGCCTGAAGCTAACGGATTAGACAATGCAGCAGCTGCCAAAGCTGATGATGTGGAATTGAGCGCTACTCTTGAAAATTGTCACATTGAAGAGAAAAACATGGCCGCTGCTGAGACCACAGGCGACAATATAGCGCAGACCCCATCCGTCCAAGTTGAACCCAGCCGCACTGACAGTGCCGAGTGAATCAATATTTTCGTTCACTCAGCTAGTTTTTGGATCATCCAATTAGAATGCATTCTCATAGAAATGTTATCAGTTCGTAGGGCTAAATATGTAAAGTATTTTCTTATATGTTAATAAAGGGTGCGCGAATGAACGCGCATGCAAATCCCTTCAAAATCTTCTAATTTCTTTGATTTTTGTTTCTTAATGGGGTTTTCAAATATTTATTTAAATCAGTTTTTAATTTCATACACATGGTATATCGTTTGTTTATTAATACAAAGGATTATTGATAATACATATTAATTATAGTAATTTGTATTTTGTTTTTTCTTTTTTCAATTTTTATTCTTTGTTTAAACACATCTTAAAAATGATAAAGATGATGAAATAAAATTGTACATATTAGCATGGATCGAATTATAACAGTTGATCATAATTGGGAAAATGATACGGACATGAGAAAGATAAAAGACATGGAACAGTGGTACCAATGTTTTGGGCTGGCTGCAGTGTGGACGAACATAAACTGATTTTCGTTTCCAAGGTCGAAACAGTATTTACTTTTACTTTCTTGGCAAGCGTGTACTCTTTGTTTTGCTTTTCTCTTCCACATTTCAATTTGTGTGTTTTTAAGGCCAAATCGATTTTTGTTCTTATTATATTTTGTTTGTTTTTTTGTTTTGTTTTTTTTTACTAGACCCTACTACGTTTGTTGACCGCCGGCTGGTTCAAATCATATTTGTTTGTTCTTGTACTAACACTTTAGTCTCCTTCTTAACTTGGACAAAACATATATGTACACTCATATGCACGTGTGTGTATATTGTTGAGAGCGTAGCATATGTGTCTGTGTGTGTAGGGCTTAATATTATCAAAATAAATTCTACATAAGTTTTGCCTGTTTGAACGCACGCGAATGTACTTTTGTAATTGAAGCAAATCTCTCTTTATTTCTTTAAAGATCATATGTTTGTCCAGGATTGGGTTAATTTTGTTTTTTTTTTTTATTTTTATTTGCTTAGATTGTTTTTAATCGACGCAGAGCGCTCAGTTCATCCCTCTGGCTGCATAGTCGGTGCTACCTATGTTATATTAGATTTGCCCCTGCTGACGATAGATATAAAATTACGATAAGAGCTTGCGATACGATAATTAATACATGTATACCTTCAATACTTACGTTGAATCATATAATTTCTTATTGGTTTTTGTTGCATGCTTTGTTTGTTGTATAGAAAATTGTTGGGTGTGTTGTGTGTGTGTGTGTGTACGAAGATTATTAGTGATATTACTTTTTACGCTTGTCTGCCGGTTTCAATATCTGGAATGAGCACATAAGGGAGTCATCCACAGACATCATTGCGCCAGCATTGTCAAATTCGCCACAGTAATTCGGGGCCGAGAAAAGTGTAACAAGTTGGCGCTTTGCGAAGAACTCATAGCCATCCTCGACGACCTGATGGGCGCGGCAAATGAGATCGAACTCGTGCTTCTCTAAAAATTTGGCCACCACCTCGGCGCCAAAGGTGAAACTGACGCCACGATCATTCTCGCCCCAGCCCATGGTGTCCTTGTCCGGATCGGACCACAGTAAATCGCAAAGTAGGCCCTGATCTGGTACATCGGTGGGACGCATGATGCGTCGAATTTGCTCCATCGACGATAGGTCCGGACTGAGACCACCATGGCAACAGAATATTTTCTCATCCACAATGGCTGCCACTGGCAAGCAGTTGAAGCAGTCAGTGAATGTCTTCCACAATTTGATGGTGTAACGGCGCTTGCACTCGTCGTAGAATCCATAGATGCGATTTATGCTGGCACATTCATGGTTACCGCGAAGCAAAAAGAAGTTCTCAGAGTATTTGATCTTATAGGCGAGCAGCAAGCAGATGGTTTCCAGAGACTGTTTGCCACGATCGACGTAGTCGCCCAAAAATAGGTAATTTGATTCCGGGGGGAAGCCACCGTACTCGAATAGGCGCAACAAATCGTAATATTGGCCATGTATGTCGCCGCAAATCTTCAATGGTGCTTCCAGCTCTAAGAGTATGGGCTGCGACAGAAAAATCTCTCGCGACTTCAGACAGAGGCCACGAATTTCGCTCTCGGAGAGCTGAACATTTTTGCCAGGCCGTGCCCCACGCACTTCCAGAAGTCTTGATATGATGCTGTCGATATTCATAACATCGCCCATGTTTCTGTATTTGTTTTTTCTATTTCTTTGTTTTGCTGCGCAGTTTCTGTGCAAGATTTTTCCACCGAAGAATGGCAAGTAGCTTTGATGTATATTTTTCACTATAAATATTTTTCACAGCACAGCTACTACAAGAAAATTTCTCCAGTGTGCCCACATTTCACAAAAAAAACAGGAGGAAGTGAAATGGGCAGTTAGTCACACTTTTGACTTGACAGCTTGTCCCGTTTACACTCACAGCGTTGGCCTGTTACCCGCCATTTGCATAGCTTGGCTGGAATTTAGTTGGTGTAAGCAGGACAAAAACAGCTTTAATTGCTAGCGCCATGCCAACTCGATTTAATAACTCTATACAGCAGTATCATAATATTTGATAAGCTATCTAAATATACTTGACGGTTAAAAAATACTGACTTAATAGTTGGTCACACATAATTTTTGAGGCTGTGGCACAAGTGCTAACGATTCGGTTAATTGAATTCAATTGAATTTGTCTGCAAAAATGTTACTTGATATAATAGAAAGAAGAAAACAAAACGATGTATATTTAATAGCAGAAATAGGTCAAAATCATCAAGGATGTCTTGAAACAGCTAAAAAGATGATACTGTCAGCAAAGAGAGCAGGATGCAATTGTGTTAAATTTCAAAAATCCAATTTGAAAGCCAAGTTTACGCGCACTGCTCTAGATCGAAGATATATAAGCGATCACGCCTGGGGTCAGACCTATGGAGAACATAAGGAATATCTTGAATTTTCAAAGGAACAATATCGTCAGCTACAAGCATATAGTAATGAAATTGGAATTGATTTCACAGCATCAGCTATGGATGAGGTATATATTTAAGGGTGGTTTCGAATGAATTTAATAAAAGTATTTTTTTTTTGCAGCTATCTCTAGACTTTCTCGTGGAGTTAAAGGTACCATTTATAAAAATTGGTTCTGGAGATGCAAATAATTTTCCACTTCTGAAAAAAGCTGCCGGACTCAACGTACCGCTCATAATATCAACTGGAATGCAAACTATGTCGACAGTTGATCGAATAGTGGAAATTATGAGGCAGGCAAGCAACAATAAATATGCTCTAATGCACTGCGTCTCTGCTTATCCGACACCACCTGAAGATTGCAACCTAGGTTTGATCACAACATTGATGCGGCGTTTTCCCAATGTTCCCATCGGGTACTCTGGGCATGAACTGGGGGTAATCATCACCCAGGCAGCGATTTTGAGTGGCGCGAGAATAATTGAGCGACATTTTACATTGGACAAGAATCAAAAAGGGTCTGATCATCGGTGCTCCCTGGATCCCAACGAAATGGAGACGTTGGCTCGCAGCATAGTTGAATTTAAATCTAACGATTATCTTTCCTCCCCCAGTCTTACTTCCGCTGAAGTGATTTCAATCTTAGGTGGCGGAAAAGAGTTGGAGCAAGCACTAAGTATATCTAAAACAAACGAGAAATATATTTTAGAGTGCGAGCTGCCTTGTCGTTTCAAGTTGGGCAAATCGATTGTCGCGTCTCGGAATCTGCTTAAGGGACAAATAATTCAGGCAGCTGATATTGCAATAAAAGTCAGTGAGCCATCGGGTATTTATGCAGAGAAATATTTTGAAATAATTAATAAGCAACTGACAGACAATGTTAATGAAGATGAGCCCATCACTGAGCATGTATTGAGTGCGTAAAATGTATTGATTACTGTTGTATTTTATAATTATACGATACGTAATGAAATTCTTATTGACTAAATTATTCGGTTGCATCGTCACTACCAACATCCTCATTATCATTCTCAATCATTTCAATGTCCTCCTCGAGATCACCCTCCTTTTTGTCGGTCGGCTTTTCATATACGGGTTTTAGCGGTGACACGACGACCCCATTCCAAACGGACATTTCACGCACAATGCTGGTATTCCCTTCCAATCCAAGGATGTGCTTGTATCCGCCGTGTGCTAAGACACGCAGCAACGTCTGCGCCGTATAACAGCACACATCTTGTTGTTCCAGCGTCATCGCTGTGTGGACCCGTATGTGACCCGGTTCAGTTGGATCGGTTATACCAGCTGAGCCTGGTAGAAATAGTCCTGCAGAGAGTAGTTGAAATACACGACGAAATGCCAAATTGATTGGCAAAGCCTGACGCGATGGATTGTTCATTATTGCCAGGTGGGCAATTAAATCAAGCATCCATGACGAAAGAGGCGAAAAAGCATCAAATCGCTTGGTTAGATCCTTTAAGATGCGGATGAGAACTTTTATTGAAGAATGGTGAGCATTTTCCTCGAACCAGCGAGTGTGGCGTATAGCAGCTAAATGGCTTTGCATTAGCTTGTGATCCATATGAATTTCCGGTTCCAGCTTTCTTAAGTTCTGCGGTAAGGTGGCAATAAGAATACGAACTCGGGCCTGTGAATTGGATACATCGAAGCCTCTGTCATGTATTTCTAGGGTATGTTGTTCACCCTTTGCTAGCACTTCAGTTTTCATGTTAGTTTTTAGGTCCGCCTCAACCTTCTTGGCCAGTGCCTCACAAGCCTCCTTTGTCGGCAGTGTTTTGAGAATGACCACCACATCGGCCACATTGTTGCCACTGAGAATGGTGCCCTTTTTGAACGATCCAACTTGGCGCACTTCTTCTAATTGCTATATATGCGTGTGTTAGTTGGGTTAAAAATATAACTAATGGGAAATTGCTATGACAACTTACACAAGTATTGAAGTCGCCTGGCGCAACGACTAAATTATCCAAGACGACCTGAACTTTAGTAACCAAGTTACCAATGGCAGCCTGTTCAGTGGGGCTAGGACTTAGGTCTTGGTTGCGTTTCAATAGAGCCTTTTTAAATAAAAAGGTTAACAGTAATTATGTGTTGTATTTTTTGGTTTATTTATTGATTTTACCGCTGTCAACGCAGAATCATCCACAACCGGCGAGACTTTGGGAAACACAACTTCGGTTAAAGTTAA